TTTCTAATGATTTTTTGGACAAAAAAATACATTTTTACTATTAAAAAAAAAGTTACATAACTAACTATTATACTGCGAATTACCTTAACAAAAATTTAGCCGTTAAAGTAATTCGCAATACAGTACTGCGAATTATTAAATAAAAAATTTAATTAATTCACAGTACAGTACTGCGAATTATTAAAAAAAAAAATTTACTAATTCGCAGTACAATACTGCGAATTATTAAAAAGAAAATTTAACTAATTCGCAGTACTGTACTACGAATTATTAAAAAAAGTTAACTAATTCGCAGTACAGTACTGCGAATTAATTAAAAAAAATTAACTAATTCGCAGTACAATACCATATTGCGAATTACTTAATCGCAGTACAGTACTGCGATTTCTTTATTAATTCGGCCCCATCAATTAACTGACATAACAATAATTCAAACACATAAAACGTAGATTGTACTGCGAATTCCTTAAAAAAATTCTACACCCCAAGCTCGGACTTGCTGACGGCCCGACGGCCTATTCTTCCGATCCTGCCAGCTGTGGTGTCGATGCTGCTGCACATCCTCACATAAAGAGGCGGCTTGATGACGATGATCCAGATAATGTACCCGGGTGACAGGGGATGCGACTTAGGCCAGCAACAGCACTGAAGCACACAGGCTGCGGGACTCACTGATTTACTTATGTTTTTACTTTGTGTAAATAGTGCATTATGTAAATAATGATAACAATTATCTTTTAACAATAATTTTATTTTAATTGCGTTTGAACAGCAATTTTACTTAAACGGTACAACACAAACACAAACCTTGCAAACCTAACACAAAAACAAACAGTAGAACTAAAAGGAAATATAAAGAAATTAATTTTTTTTCACATGGATTTCATCTTTTTTCAGAACGACAAGACAACTCCATAAAATGTAGTCCTATACTGCGAATTACTTGGGATGCAGAATTTTTTTAAGGAATTCGCAGTACAATACTACGTTTTATGTTTTTGAATTATTGTTATGTCAGTTAATTGGTGGGGCCAAAATTAATAAAAAAAATCGCAGTACAGTACTGTGATTAAGTAATTCGCAGTATTGTATTGTACTGCGAATTAATTTTAAAAAAAATTAATAATTCGTAGTACTGTACTGCGAATTAGTTAGATTTTTTTTTTAATAATTCACAGTACTGTACTGCGAATTACTTTAACGGCTGAATTTCCGTTAAGTTAATTTTCAGTATAGTACTGCGAATTAGGTAGTTATGTAATATTTTTTTTAGTAATAAAAACGTATTTTTTATCCAAAAAAATATTAGAAAAGTTTCGAACTCCATGTACAAGTAATAACAGGCCGAATGTTTTAGAATCTCATCGTGCATAGCAACAATAGAGGAAAGCCAAATGGCACAAAATATCTTAAAGACTAATTTTGAAACTTGCAATATAATTAAAATTGTAATTGGTCATTTATATATGACAATAGAAAAATACCCGCCGACAGAATGAGAAAAAGATTATAACTCATCTATATTTATAGCGTGAATTAACTTTTGCCACTATTTATCACGCTCATGACGAATCGACAAAAGGGATAAATTAGTCTGACATATTCAGAAGTTCGCAAGTCTAATAGCTCGTTTGGACATAAGAAATTTTTTCTTTTTTTTCAAAAGATTTTCACTTTTTCTGAAATCAGTGTTTGTTCATAAAATATTTAATTTTGATGCATTTTGTAAATTTTTGAAAATTTGAAAAACTCCAAAAAGCTGTTTTTTCAAAATTTTTACTCAAATCACTCACAAAATTTCAAAAACAACCCAAAACTATATTCATGTCCAAACAGAACTCTATATTTTAAATAACATTTTCACTTAAAAAAAATTCACCCTATCTTGAATTTTACAATTCTTATGTCCAAATGCCCACTAAAATTCTCAATTCTAATAATACACAAAGTAAAGAGATTTATAAGACATATTACAAGTTTACATGATATGTATGCTTTTAAATTGGATAGCCCAAGAAACAAATCCGTAAAGTTTGTTGGGCCAACGTAAACAATATGTGCCATGAACTTGTATTCCGACACAATTAATTTAAGAGTTAATACCCTAAAATCCTCCTAAACTATCAAGTTTTTGTCAGTTTCCTACTTTAACTATTCGTGTCTCCAAAACCCCCGTATACTATATTGCCCTTTTATTAAAAAACACTCATTGCATTATTAGAGTGTGTCTAGTATACACTCCTAATTGTCTAAAAAACGTGTCATGTAGCACTACACGTGGCTATTTAACTCAGTCTAAAACCCGCCAAAACTATCACTTTTTTGCCAGTTACCTACATAAACTATCTGGTGTTCCCAAACCATCCCCCCCCCCCCCCCGTGAACTTTATTACCCTGTGTATTAAACCCCATGTTGGACTTTTAAAGGTACGTCTGTCTAACTATATTAACTTATGGTTTGCACAAAATTTTTTATATAGTTTACTCATGATGTATTACTCTGAAATGATTAATTAATTCTTAGAGTTTTCACCAAAATAATATCTAATGTACTGTGTTAATTTTAGGTATAATTGTGATTGTGATTGTGATTGTGCTTTATGCTAGACTCCAATTGATAAGTCCTTATTTCTATTAACTTTGTAGCACGGTTAAAATATAAATAAAGGCATATAGTGTTGTATTTCTTAAAAGTCATCTTTTATTACATAAAAAAGATTACACAAAATAAAATTTCGCGAATGAAAGATCAGTTACCCAGCAATTACATTATCTAATTCCAGATTACATAAAGAAGTTTCAAGAGATTCAACTTACTCTTTACAAGGTGTTGAGCTTAATAAGAAAATTTAAATTGGTATTCTTTCGACAATACGTGTTAGACATGAAAGAAGACAAGAAAAAGAATAAATAATTTCAGAGTAAACAAGAGAGGGAAAAATTTTTCTAGAGGAAACTCATATGGAGAACTGAAGAAAAAAGGTTAAAAACTGAAGAAGAAGGTGAAAAACAAAGAAGAAAGGTGAAAAATAAGGAAGAATGATGAAAAACGAGGAAGACAGATGGATATAACTGAATAAGGAGAAAATTTATTAAAAAAAAATTTGAAAGAGGGTTAGGCTAATTAACCATTATTTTATGTTAGGTGGGCCATTTGATGGCTTTTTTCAGCTACCACGCGCTCCCAAGCGTGTGTCTACACATGTTATGCCAGATGAGAGACGAGGGGTTTTTAATACGAGTCCGAAACTTTTTTGATGCTTTTTTGGACAAAAGCACATTTTTAATGCTAAAAAAAAAGATACATAAATAGGCACTTCGCAGTACTATACTGCGAATTGACTTAACGAAAATTTAGTCGTTAGGCTAAATTGACTTAACAAAAATTTAGTCGTTAAGCTAATTCACAGTAGAGTACTGCGAATTAATAAAAAATTATTTTTTTAAGCTATTCGCAGTACTATACTGCATATTACTCTGCTTTTTATTTGTTAAAGCTATTCGCAGTAGTATACTGCGCATTACTAATTCGCAGTATACTACTGTGAATTGCCTTAATAAAATATAACCCTTCTTCTTCCTTGGACAACGACAGAATCGCCCCACCATTAAAAAATCCTTCTGTCCAAAACTGGTACCCCCCCCCCCCCCATCAATTTAATAAATAAAAAATTCGGCCCCACCCGTCACCTAAAGAGCAAGGAGTCTAGGTCCCACACACAAGACAAGCTTTTTATTCCTTCTTTCGGGTGCAAAAATTCGATTTCAATCAAATTCAAAAAACTTAAATCGAGGTATTTCGATTTTGTTTATGTCGAAACTTGTATAGTACATGCATATTTGTATTGTTTAATGTGTTTCCATGTTAATTTGTGTTATGTTTTCGTTTGAATTTGTATCTTATTTATACCCGGATTGATTTATTAGCTTTGGTAAAAAAATTTATTAAAATTTGATAAATTATTTGTATTGTTAATGTTATGTTTTTATTTGGTTAAATAAAAAATTAATATCATTTATTTTGTTTGTTGTTCGTATTTGTATTTAATGTTAGTTGTTTTTATATGTAATAGTGACCTTTTAGCGTAGTAAAATAAATAGCCTTTTAGCGTAGTAAAATATCGACCCTGCCTTTTAGTGTAGTAAAATATAGAGCCTTTTAGTGTAGTAAAATATAGAGTCTTTTAGCATAGTAAAATATAGAGCCTTTTAGTGGAGTAGAGCCTTTTAGATTACACTTAACAAAATTAATTATTTAATTTATAACAATAAGCTTACAAAAGTAACAAATTAATATATTTGTAAAATTAACTTCAATATCGAGCCTGGAACCCATACATAATTATTCAGTCCAATTCAATAATTTTTAATTTAATTTATTAAGCTAACAAAATTGTAAAAATATTGAAATCAACACACATAATAATTAAGGATAACTCGGTGCTACCAGGCCTCAAAAATCGAGCCTGGAAGCCATACATAATTATTCAGTCCAATACTAAACATAATTAATTATTTAATTTATTAAGCTAACAAAATTGTAAAAATATTGAAATTGACACACATAACAATTAAGGATAACTCGGTGCTACCGGGACTCAAAAATCGAGCCTGGAACCCATACATAATTATTCAGTCCAATACTAACATAATTAATTATTTAATTTATTAAGATAACAAAATTGTAAAAATATTGAACTTGACACACATAATAATTAAGGATAACTCGGTGCTATCGGGCCTCAAAAATCAAGCCTGGAACCTATACATAATTATTAGTCCAATATTAAACATAATTAATTATTTAATTTATTAAGCTAACAAAATTGAAAAAATGTTGAAAATGACACGCATAATAATTAAGCATAGCTTGGTGCTACCGGGCCTCAAATATCGAGCCTCGAACCCATAAACTATTACTCAGTCCAATATTAAAAATAATTATTTAAATTATTAAATTAACACACACAATTAATTTTGTTTAAATTATAGTAGACGACATGGCTTTTCCGCCGCTTGCGCATCCTGGACCTGCCGAGGATCAGCTATTAGTGTTGCAGGGCGACCATAGGTCCTCCTACGTATGGGAGGGACAACTATCGGAGCAGGCTCTCCGCCCCAGGAGACTTGATGATTTGTGGGAGTTCATGGCGGAGCATCCTTTCCATGCTCGCATAGTCGCGCGCTTACAGGCTACGGGCTTCTATACTATTTTTGAGCTTGGACGGATGCAGCTCGATTGGTCTCTTATCACGGCGTTGGTAGAGCGGTGGCGACCGGAGACGCACATTTTTCACTTGCCCACTGGAGAGGCCACCATCACGCTGCAGGATCTTCAGGTTTTGTACGGGATGCGCGTAGATGGACGGGCTGTGACACTGCCCCACTACATTAGATCCTTGACGCGCACCCAGTTTTTGGATATGATAGGGCAGCTTACTGGTTTTAGACTAGAGGGTGGCGCTGGGGGCAGTCGCGTTCTTTTGTCAGCCATTAGAGATCATATGGCTTTTTTGCACCCTGACATTACCGGGGAGACGGAGGATCTCCACATTGAGAGATACACGCGGTTGGCACTGCTCCTGCTTTTCGGGTGTGTCTTGTTCACAAACACTTCGGGGAGTACTGTGAGTCTTCGCTTTCTCCATCATCTTCAGCGGCTGGATGATTTACCTCAGTACAGCTGGGGTGCTGCTGTTCTGGCATACCTGTATAGGAGCATGTGTCGGGAGAGCATGGGTCCAGCGGTGGACATATGTGGTTTACTGCCCCTCCTACAGGTGACAACATTTTCGAATACTCTGTTCATTATTCTGAATTCTATATGGTCGAAATGACTCATAAATTTTACATCAACCTTTTATCTTAGGTTTGGGCCTGGCAGCGGATCATGTCGTTGCAGCCACCTCTACCACCACTTGCGCCCGGTCAGGCTTATCAGTTTCTCCCTCTAGCTTCTAGGTGGATTCTCCAGCGTGGGAACTACCGAGGGAGCGATGCTCATCATAATCTCCCCCTTGTCAGGGATGTGTTAGATATGCTGGTGGACGGACATGTAAATATGTACCTACACTTGCGAATTAGTAATTGAGTTATGTTGCGCATACTCACTTTTATGTTATTATTTGGTAGTTCGTCTGGACGCCATACAACAACGAGTTGCTAGCTCAGCTGCCTGATATTTGCTCGGCCGACAGACTGCTTTGGAGAACCTCCGTCCCGATGATCTTCTTCGATCAGGTTGAGTATCATGCCACAGAGCGTGTGCTTCGCCAGTTTCACCGTCCCCAGCCTATACCGGGGGAGCCTGGATGGGAGGCTACACACTATCAGCGGGACGACCGTGCCAGGGTGGACGTTACATATATGGCATGGCTAGAGCAGCAGGTCCATACTTGGGAGGAGCGAGGTCACCGTATTCCGCCAGCACCTACATTTACCCAGGAGGCCACCATTCACCTGTATGTGTCATGGTATCGCCATCACACCCGACGGATGATCGGGAACCCCATTCATGTGCTTGGCGATCGCTACAGACCATACGTCGGGAGGCACGAGGCACTGGTATGTTTTTGTGGCTTATTAATATTTTATAATTGTGATATCGCGTTATTTAATTAATATTTTAAATGTTTCAAAGGCTATTGGGACTCATAGCCTCTACCAGTTGGGCCAGGAGATGCGGCAGCATGACGACAATCCTGCACTCGTTGACTATGGCCGGCGGGTGGAACAGCTGGCTCGTCGGACCCTGCTTCAGGCGAGAGATGCTGCGAGGTTGGACCACGAGGCTCAGTGTGCGGCGCCAGAGGACTACCATCGGGGTAGGGGTGTCCCACGAGGCAGGGGTAGGGCATGAGAGAGGGGTGCCCCACGAGGAAGGGGTGCGCCACGGGGTCGCGGGGGTCGCAGGGGACGGCGAGGAGGTGGTCCCCAGCAAGGGGTTTATGAGGCACTTCTTGGCCCACCTGTTGAGGGACATGATGGGAATTTTGGAGATGAGTCTCTTGGAGATGATCAGTCGGGTTATGGACCTCAGGTCGATGAGCCATCCAGCAGCATGCCATCGTACAACCTTCAGCTATCTCTGCCAGCATCGCAGGTCACCCCATCAGGAGCATTGTCGATCACGGGTACATTCGACGGGGATGTAGACCAGTACTTTGCATACCCATCTACTGCATCTGAGGATCGGCCCACCCGGGACGTTGATGGCGGGCGTAGGTTGAGTTATGCCTCATCCCCGGCGGTTGATGCGGATCTACCACAGGCGCAGGTATGTTTGTATTACTTTAAAATTTCAAAGTTGTTTTCTTTTCCTTAATGAGCTGACATTAATTATTTTTTAACTTTCTTATGAAGGTTTCATCCCAGCCCATCTTCGAGGCCACTACATGCTTTAATGAGGACACCACAGATGCATATACTCAGGCGGCGGACGAGACCACGGTGAGAAAATGTTTATTTGACTCTACACGTACAATACAAATATTCTTTTTAGGTTTGCTAAGATTACTACTTGTGTTGTAGGTTGTTGACGGCCCGACGGCCTATTCTTCCGATCCTGCCAGTTGTGGTGTCGATGCTGCTGCACATCCTTACATAAAGAGGCGGCTTGATGACGATGATCCAGATAGTGTACCCGGGTGACAAGGGATGCGACTTAGGCCGGCAGCAGCACTGAAGCACACAGGCTGCGGGACTCACTGATTTACATGTATTTTTACTTTGTGTAAATAGTACATTATGTAATTAATGGTAACAATTATCTTTTAACAATAATTTTATTTTAATTGCATTTGAACATTAATTTTACTTGAACAGTACAACACTAACACAAACCTTGCAAACCTAAAATGTAGTACTATACTGCGAATTAAGTATTAAATTTTTTAACGACAAGACAACGCCATAAAACGTAGAACTATAATGCTAATTAATTATTAAATTTATCTGCAAGAAACCAGCTTTTTTTTACATAATTTACATCTTTTTCAGAACGACAAGACAACTCAGAAAAACGCAGTACTATACTGCAAATTCATGATTAAATTTTTCTGCGAGAAACCAGCTTTTTTCACATAATTTACATCTTTTTCAGAACGACAAGACAACTCAATAACACGCAGTACTATACTGCAAATTAATTATTAACTTTTTCTGCAAGACAGCAGCTTTTTCCACATGATTTTCATCTTTTTCAGAATGACAAGACAACTCAATAACACGCAGTACTATACTGCGAATTAATTATGAACTTTTTCTGCAAGACAACAGCTTTTTCACTTGATTTTCATCTTTTTCAGAATGAAAGACAACTCAATAACACGCAGTACTATACTGCGAATTAATTAATTTGTCTCGCCTATAAATAACGGGCTCATTGTAGTTATTTTGTATGCTTAAAATTTACAAAAAGCTGATATTTCATTAAAAGTAAGGTTTTTTACTAAGGTTTTTTAAAAGTAAGTTGATATGGCTCAACCTCTTCGTCCACCAAAGTGCTACTGTGGAAAATCATGCATGATGCAAAACTGTTGGGAAGGTGGTGAAGTTGGACGCTGCTACTGGTGTTGTATGAACTGGTTTTACAAGGTTCCCGGCGAACCTATGTGTGAGTTTGAGGAATGGGTTGATGAACCATGTTACCAGGAGTGCTACAGATCACAACTACAGTATCTGCATGATGTGTTATGGACAGAACGGGAACAACGAATGGAAAGCAATAGAATTATTGCAGAAATGAGGGAAAAACTGAAGGAGGTGGGAGAAGAAAAATGGAAAGCACAATGGAATTGTCAAGCACAAAAGGAACGTAAACAAAAATATAAACGGGAACTTGCGGAGGTGAAGGCGAAACTGAAAGAGGTAGAAGAAGAAAAAGAACAACTGGAGGAAAGATTTAAGTGGTTCGAGCGAAGAATAAATGGCAACCGGGACTAAACAATCCCTACTATGTGTTTAGTGTACTTTTCATATTTCATGTATTTTTATTATGTTGGCCTGCTCTGTTTGTGTTGTAGTAATATTTTCCTTGTTTGTTGTTTTAAATTTTATTTTAATTGAAGTGGACGTTAAGTTTTAAGTGCTTGTGTTGTTATATGAAACTATCAAATCACGCTTTACATATTATATTTTCCTACAATAAATAGATTTTTCTCCACTCATTCCAAAATACACAAGTACAAACACGTATTACAAAAAACAATACCAAAACAAAAGACTAGGGGTATCCTTGATAGTTGGGTACATTCGACGAACTTGCACCAGGAGCCGGATTACCACAGCCACGCACACCACCTGAAGGACATTTACGACGGTCGTGTCGTGTTTGCGAGCATATGCCACATTTACGCACATAAACGGACTCACCAACATCCATTTGGTTCCGTATACGCGTTCTTTTTTGCACTTGTATCTTGCGCAAATAGTCCTTGTTACATACCATCTTAAAAGGTTCCGGCGGCCAATAATGCTCAACACCTAATGGATGCAACTTTCCACTATATGTGTCTACGTATGCAGCAACACTGTATTGCTATCAATATAGTTTGTTGCCCCATATTCAACTTGTTGAAAGCACTTCAACGCATGTGCGCACGGCATGTGGTAGATGGTCAATTTCCCACATGAACATAACCTTCTATTTTCATTCAGCGTTTGTAGATTATTCCCACGGTGTCCGTGGATAGCGGTATTAACTTCAAAAACACCCCGTTCATGATCGTACTGAAGAAATGAATGCCACTGTGCTCGCCTCCTGGACCTTTCAAATCTTCTCAGGGGTATTGGCATAAATTCAACACTCCTGTCCATCAATGCCGATGCAGTTGCATGCCTTTCAACAAACCTCTCCGCACTCTGTTTGAATGTCATACGGACCATGGCAGTGACAGGCAGTCCACGGGCAGACTTCAACAAGCCGTTGAATGACTCCGACACGTTTGTAGTGAGGGCTCCCCATTGTCTGCCGCCATCAGCATGCAATGTCCACATGTAAAGCTCATGTCGCATCAACCAAGTATAGGCTCGTGGATCTATCTGCCAGATCACTTCCATGCGCCTCGTGAATTTGCACTGCTGGTGCTCAGTTGCAGCCATCCACATTAAGTCATGCAAGCCTTGTCAGGAAATTTCTTTTGGAAATTGTCCTTCAGGTGCCTCACACAGTAACGGTGGTATGCATATGGTTCATGCCATTCAGGCAAGTGACGTACAGAACTTAAAATACCACCATGCCGATCAAATATTAGACAAATACCTGAACGCTGTTTGGCAATGTGCTGCTTCAAGTGGTTCAAAAAAAGCGTCCACGTCTCTTCACTTTCGTTGGCACAAATGGCAAAAGCTAGTGGAAATATTTGTCCGTTGGCATCTACTGCAACTGCAATCAAAAGCTTAATATCATACTTTCCATGGACATGAGTACCATCTATGGAAATTACAGGACGACAATGCACAAAACCATCAATTGCTGGTTTAAATGACCAAAACACATAGTTGAAAATATATTCCGGTCTGTTCGGATTCCGCTCATGCCTCCATTCAACAACAGTCCCGGGGTTAAAGTGTTGCAGTGTGGCCATGTACCTGGGCAGATTTGAAAAAGACTTATGCCAGTCGCCATAAATAAGTTCAAAGCCGCGTTTGCGACCGAGATATGCCTTTCTTTTGGTTATAGTACAACCATACTCCTGGTGGACAGCTGTAATATACTCTTCAATCTTGAACCTAATGGACACTTCCAAAAATGGAATCAAGACAAGGGAAATCAAGTCCATATCCAAGTTGAAGTGATTCTCATTGAATGTGTCCATTTCACATCTGTGCTCGCTAATAAATTTACCCACTTTCCACAAACCTGATTTCTTCTTGCTAGCACGCAACATCCAGTGACAAACCATAAACTACCTACGTCATACAACCTTGTATACCTCCGTAGTTGACTCACTTACTGTCATCTCATGGCACTCTCTTATACTGTAGATTTTTACAGCTCTAATTAGGCTAGCTTTATCGGGGAAATACATGCCCTTTGTCAGAACAGCTGGTCTAGACTCATCCCACATCGCTGACCGAATTTCGTCATCATCCCTTGTGAGGGCATCCACGTTGGGCATACTTGGCAAATTATAAAGGTAGGGAATATTCCGCTCATGAAATGGCACGTGTGACTCGTACACTCTTTGACTAGCGGGAGGTGGAGGAACATGCTCCCTCGTCGGCTCAGCTTCAACATTCACTTCCTCCTCATCATCACCCTCATCATGGAATGGTGTGTCATCCCCGGACTCATCCGCTTATTGTCATAATCACTATCATCTTCCTGACTCTGCGCATCAGCCAAATCACGGGTCAATACGTCGTCTATGGGCAACTGTGTGAAGTCAGGAACATCAAGAGCTCGTTTTCACTGCACAAAACTAACAAAATGATAAGTTACCAAACTACATAAATACTTTTGATATAGCTATGTCACTTTACTTACAAGTCGCGCTGTCTGGACGTTTCATGATGGATATTTTCTTGTTGGTGATGACTCCCGGATGGACCATCGTGCTCCAATTTTCCAGAACTACGCATATTCCAACTAGGGACGGGGTCATAACTTGTAAAATTCATATCCGGACGGTACCCCTTATGAAAAATATAAGTGTTAATACAAATCCAATTAAAACATAAAATAAACATCGCTAAAGCATAGTAAAATTGAAGTTTACCAATCGTCTTGTGGATTACATAAAGTCAAAAAATTATTTTGTGGCTGCTCATTCGTCGGTGGTGACAAGTTTAAATCAAGGCAAGCTCTTTCATCAGCAATCTGTCCGGCAAAAACTGCTCCAGAATAACCACCCCATGACCGGGGGTTATCCCTACTACGCACACCCTTATTATTGGGAACGTCTTCCACCTTGACGTACATTTTCAATAATTTTATTACAATAAATTCCCTATATTCATCCGGAATCCGCAAAAAATCTCTAAGAGTTTCATCATCCTCGATGTTAAACTCAGAATAATAAGCAAACCCCTGCGGAGTCACTGAATATGGAAACCTACCCGTTACTTTAAGGTTAACCGAATGCTTCCTCACACTCATTTTTTTACATAATAACGAAACCAATTTATCATACTCCATCGGCAATTTAACATGACACTGTGGAGGTGAGCTATACCTCACAGAGTTATTCTCCAGCACAACCTCACCCCCCGATATAATGAAACCCTTATTTTGGCTCTTCAGACATTGTACAAAAATGATTGATAAGAAGAAGAGAGAAGTATGAACGGAAGTTTGAGTTTGTATTGAATGAATTTTCATAAAACTGAAACGCCTTTAAATAAGGCAAGGTGCAGAATTTTTTTTAAGCACTTCGCAGTACAATACTACGTTTTATATGTT